AACTGAAAAAGAAAGAGACGAGGCATTTCCCCTGCTTCCTTTCAAGCATCCACTTCGCAGATACTACCTCAGTGGCGCCCGACAGCCTCAGAGGAAGGGGCCAGTCTTGCCCGGCTGGTGTGGCTCAGTGGTTCAGCGTTGACCTAGGAACCAGGAGGTCACGGTTCGATTCCCGGTCGGGGCACAGGCCGGGTTGCGGGCTCGATCCCCAGTGTGGGGCGTGCAGGAGGCAGCCGATCGATTCTCATCATTGATGTTTCTCTCTCCCTCCCTCTCCTTTCTTCTCTGAAATCAATAAAAATCCATATTTTTTAAAATAAAATGAAAAAGGGGCTAGTCTTCACGTGAAGGGACAACCCCACATGTTGAAAAACAGACAAGTCAGGGGCTTTTTAGTCCCTCGTTCAACCTGTACTTAAGTGACTCACTGTGTGTGTCAGGCCCCAGCCTTGGTGCAGGGGATACGTCGGCAAAAAGGACAAGCTCTGGGGGCGAGTGAAGTCACCCTGAAGGCCTTTTCGTACCAGGCCTGCAGGGCGAACAGACGCACGCACCGGCGTCCAGCACGTGGAGGGCCTGGAAGGCCCATTTGTCAAGCTGCCCGCTCCTGGTGCCCGGCCGTGGCGGTAGCCTGGGGTCTAGCCATGCGCCTGCGTCCTGAGCAGGACCGTCAGAACCCTTTCCCAGGACTGGCGTCAGAGCCAGGAGACGCGCCTCCCTCGCGTGCCCGGGTTTCTGAGCCAGGATCTCACGGGTCGGTCCCTGTGGAAAGCTACCTTCCAATCCCTCAGGGCAGGGTGGGGTCCTGCCAATGGGACAGGGCAGCCAGGAAGGCGGAGTGACTTCCCTGAGCCTCTGGTCCCTGCCTGAAGCCCAGGCCAGCACGCGTGTCCTGGCCGCATGGGAAGTGATGGCTGTCTCTCTTCTGCCGGCTGGACTGGTTCCCCGGCCCTTGAAAGAGGGGAGTCCTTAGTCCAGCCACAGCGTGAGGACGGGGGCAGGAGGGGCGGAGGGCATGGAGGGGTAAGTGGATGGGCTCTGAGCCTTTCTTTCTTTTTTTTAATCCTCACCCAAGGATAGGCCCTCCATTGATTTTGAGAGAGAGAGGGACGGGGAGAGAGCGATAGGAACATCAATGAGAGAACCGTTGATCGGCTGCCTCCTGCACGCCCCACACTGGGGATTGGGCCTGCAACCCGGGCCTGTGCCCTGACCGGGAATCAAACCCTGACCTCTTGGTTCATAGGTTGATGCTCAGCCACTGAGCCACGCTGGCCGGGTACGGGGTTTCCTTTTTAAGGCAGAGCTTAAAAAACACAGCAACCCCAGGAAAACCCAGAGTGTGGAAAGCAGCCGGCTACAAAGGGGCAGGAGTCAGAGGCCTCCCGCGGCCCCTCCTGTGTTACAGCCGTTTAGGCCTCTTGTCGACTCGTCTCCACTTGAAGGCCAGGGTCTGCGCCGGCGGGAGGGTAGGCTCCTGGCTTTGGGAGAGAGAGTCCAGGGCACTGGGTGGCCAGGCCACCAGGAAAGCTGGTGCCGGCCGGGGAGGTCTCAGAGACAGACCTGAAGGCCGACCAGGGAAGGAGGGGACAGGCCAGGGCTGTGCTGGGGATAATGTGCTTGTGCAGCCGGACGAGAGGGAGACCAGCAGGAAGTCGGGGACAGCCACACAGGTGAGGACAAGCAGGGGCTGAGTCAGGGCCGTGGGAAGTGAGGGTGTCCAGGCTGAGGCTCGTGCCCAGCGGGGCAGCAAGCAGGGCCAGGCTTGCTGCGGGCTGCAGAGGAGAAGGCACAGGGGAGTGGGCGGGAAGGTAGGAGGGAGACCGGGGAGGATGCGGCCGAAGCAGCGGGCGGTGAGGGTGGAGGTGGAGGCGTGGTGACTGCCGGGAGCTGGGCCTTCAGGGATCAGGGAGAGGCAGGAAGGCCAGAGGGGATACAGAGCCAGGGAAGGAAAGTGGACAGTAGGGCACACGTGGGCACATGTGTGACCGTGAAAACACAAAAAATGCAGATGCATGTGTGCTCTCTCACACACACACACACACACACACACACGCACACACACACACAAAACTTCCCCAGCCAAAGTCAAAAGCACACAGAAATATGTACCACATACACTCGCCTGTACACACAGCCACATATGCACACTCCAGCCACACACACACACACACACACACACACACACACACACACACACACACACACAGGACACATGCAGAGATGGAGCCAGGCACACAGCTGCCGCCATACACGATCGGATGCACGTACAGACACACAGACCTACAACAGACACACAGGCACATACCGGGATACACTGACACTGGGACACATGTGGATGGACATACACACACTTCCTGCCAAAGGAGTTATCTGTCCTGACGCACATACACGAAGGCCTGTGGGTGCAGTGCGGCTCATGCACCCACTTGGCCGTGACCATGCCCCTGCGAGGGGAGCTCCCCGCAGCCCCATCGGAGGCAGCCCTGGCTCTGAAGCCCCAGCACCGGGCTGGCCTGGGAAAGTGACACACATCACAGCCATTGCCCAACACACCCATCCGGCGGCCCAGGGTCAGGGAGGAGCCAGGGCCAGGCCTCGCGTGCCTGCCCACGCACGCGTTGCCACCGGCAGCAGACACCCAGCCACCAACGCAGACAGCTGGGATTGCGAGGGAGCTTGCAAAATCACCCCATCCCTCAGGGTTCAGATAAAGTGCCCCGGCCCCCGGGAACTCCCCAGGCTCCTTCTATTTTGAGTTCCGGTTCTGCCGTGCCCAGCTGTGTGGCCTGGGGCAGGCTGCTTCACCTCTCTGTGCTTCATTTCCCCGTGTGCTAAGGGGGATAAAGAGCATGTGTTGAACGCACAAGCGGATGGAGTCTCCCACATGGGGACGGGGCTGCGGCGCCCCATGCTCAGTCAGTGACGGGAAGACTGCGCTCCCCCTCCTCGCCCCTTCCCACCCAGGGGAGCCCTGCGGCCGGTGCAGCATCAACAAGGTGTGCAGTTCACTCTCCCCTCCACATGGGACCAAGAACCCAGCTTTGGAGCAACTTGGCAAGCATGGGACCACACGGCCCTGCCCGGCAGGGGTGGGGGCGAGGGCTGGAAACCCCGAATTTCTGCTTAAATATCTTCGAGGAGGACTTAAGAGGTCACTTCCTCTGTACGGGCATGAACATCAGAGAGGGTGGAAATGAGCCGCCGACTCTCCCTGCCTGGGTTTCCTCATCTCCGTCCCCACCCACCCAGGAGCCCCCCACCCAGGCTCACATCCTCCCTGCCGATGCCAGACACCAGGCTGGCGGTCGGCTGGAGGCTGAGCACCTTCCCACTCCCCAAGGCACCGTGGGCAGGGTCCGCCCAGGCCGAGGCTGCCACCCTGATGACGACAAGCATGGACTCCACAGTCTGGGCCTTGAGCCTCGCCCGGGAGAGGCTGTGCTGATGGGACAGGTGCACTGGGGCTCCCGGGGCTGGGAGGACAAGGACGTGGGCTACAGGCCAGCAGGCACCCCCAAACCTGATCATGAATGACCCCAGCGGAGCCCAACCCCAGGCCTGGGCTGACCAAACTCACTTCTTTGCCCTAAAACCCTCCAGGGCCCGGTTGGGACAAGGACATGGTTCTGTGAGCCCCCACCTCAGCCCGGGACAACTCCAGGCGTGTCTGATGACAACATCCGGGCACCAGCAGTGGGTGAGGTCCAGGGTCAGATCCGAGTGTCCCTGGGGACCTCTGAGGCCCGTGTGCCTGCCCCAGTGGGGCTCGGTCTCCAAGGGCAGATGCCCCTTTTCGTAACTCACTGAAGGCCGAGAGCTGGGAGCTGAAAACCCTCCATCCAGACACCCACATGAAGAGACCCGTGGGCACGCCGAGCTGAAGGCCTGGGTCCGAGGCAGGCCAGCCCATGGAATGCCTGGCCCCTCACCCAGGCCAGTCCCAGGGGCAGCTCCAAGAACTAACTGACGTTGGGTTCGAGGCAATGGGTGAGGCCCGAGGCACTTGGAAAGCCAGGACGACAGAAGCACTGAAACCAAGCAGGGACTCGGGGAGACAGACCGATGGATGGACCCCAGAGCTGACTGGGGCCAGGAACTCCGCGGCTGCACATCAAGGACCCCTAATAATTTTGGCTCTAAAACCCCCACCTCAGCCCAGGACATTGCCCGAGCCCGGCAAGGTCTCGGACGGGCCTTACAAGGAGAAATGGGACCCACTTACCCGCCCCCCACAAAGACAAACTATAGAGAAACGCCCCCTGCCCAGGGCCATGGGGCACAGGGTCCTGAAGGAGCCGACTCCTGTCTCCATGCACTTGGGGAAACCGAGGCCAAGGGCTAATGCCTGGCCCACGGCCCCTGACTGCCCACTCACCAGGCCTGGATGCGTCTCAGCTCCTCTGATCTGCAGGCCCCCGGGTCCCCAGGGCCAGGGCGGGCGCACTGCCAGAGGCCGGGGCCCCGTTCTGACTTTTCTGGGGAGCCACCGCAAGCTGAGTACGACGAAGTCACACCCTTCTTCCCTTCCTGAGCGCGGGCGGGCCTGGGCTGAGGGCACCTGATAACCTCCCGCCGCATCTGTGGGGCCCCATCAGGCCCCAGTGGAATCCCAGCTCAGAGCGGGAGGCGGCCCCTCCATGACAGGAAACGTGGGGCCAGATGTGCTGACTGAGCCACTGGCCCAGGCGTGCAGCCATCAAGAGCAGAGTGGGCCCTGGCTGGTGTGGCTCAGTGGATAGAGCGTGGACCTGTGGACTGAGGGGTCCCAGGTTTGATTCCAGTCAAGGACACATGCCCAGGTTGCGGGCTCGATCCCCAGTAGGGGGCGTGCAGGAGGCAGCCGATCAATGATTCTCATCACTGATGTTTCTCTCTCTCTCTCCTTTCCTCTCTGAAATCAATAAAAAAAAAAGAACAGAGTGGGCCCCCCCCCCCCAGGCATCCTGCCCCCCTGGACAGGGAGTGCAGATTCGCAAGTTCCCACTGGGGCTGGCCCCCTCCCCACTCGGTGCCAAGAGAGCCCTGGGGGCAGGAACTGAAGATCTCCTGGCCAGAGGGCCTCCTGTAAAGGACAGGCAGACGCGGGCATGGCCCAACAGCAAGCAGGCAGCAGCCCAGAGGAAAAGGGGTTCCTGGGCCCTCTGTGGGGTGTCACCACTGGTCAGCCCTGCCCGTGGTGGAGGGAAAGCTGGGGGTCCCCAGGCAGGAGGTCTGGGAGTTTCTACCTGCGTTCAGGACCTTCTGGGCTATTCTGGGAGCAGCAAGGAATGAAGAAAGAGCCCAGACTTCAGGGCCAGGCGGCCCTGGGTGGGAATCGTGTGACCCTGGCTAGGTCACTTCACTTCCTGAAGCTCCGGTTCCGCATCGACAATGGGATGGTACACGGGGAACCAGCACCGCAGGCAGTGGGGCCCAGGTGGGGTCAGACAACCCCAAAGACCACAGCCCAGCCTGGACACTACAAGCCCTTTATTAACAAGTTGGTAAAAAAAAAAAAAAAAAAAAAAAAAAGAGCAGAGAGACGTAAAAATACTTTTCTCGAAGGCCCCCTGAGGGGAAGGCACTGTCAGAACCCAGCTGGTCGGGGAAGGCAACCCGACCAGACGCAGAACGGAGACGAGGGCCCTGTCCAGGGAGCAGCCGGCCGGGTGCTGAGGGGAGTGGCTCAGCCTCAGGCAGGGAATGTGCAAACGCCGAGGCTGGGTGGGGAGTGATGGGTTGAGGGCTTCCCGGTGGAAGCCCAGAGCACCGTGTTCCCGGTGTGGGCAGACACGCGCGTCCACGTGAGAGCCGGTGCCTGCACGCAGCTTATACAGAGTAGGGGGGTCCCCCTGCATGAGTGGGGGAGGAAGGAGCGGGAAGTGGGCTCACCCAGAGCTTGGGGAAATAGCTTAAAGAAGTCTCTGGAAGCCTGGGGGTGAGGGGCGAGCGCAGGGGCTGCGGCTCCCCCGTGGCCTCAGGAGCCCAGGCCCTCCTGCCGCCGCTGGAGGACTTCGATGACGCTGTCGATGCCGTCCTCAGGCACCTGTGGGCAGGTTGGGGGAGGAAGGGGTCACCCTCCTCCTTCCTCCCTCCTCCCTCCACCCTCATGGGCCTCAGCATCCCTTCGGGAGCCCCTTCCCCCACCCGGGGTGCTCACCAGGGCGTGGTCGAAGTTGAAGGTGCTGATGTAGTAGGCAGAGATGTCGGCCGCGGCCAGGGGACCCGCGATCTGGGCCACGATCCCACATTCATCTGCGGGTGGAGGAGGGGTCCGTGTGGATCACGCTGGTCGCTCCACATCCCTTCCCCAGCCCCCCACGCACAGGGCGCCGCGCTCACCGAAGCCCAGGGGCTGTCCTCCGATGCGCACCATCCTCCACAGCTCCCCCGAGGAGCTGGTCAGCAGCAGGTCACTGGGGAACCTGGGGAGGCAGGCGCGACTGGTGACTTCAGGGTCTGACGCTCCACCTCCTTCCTCCCTGGGCCTGGCTTAGCATCGGCGGCCCACCCTCGGTCAGGGGTCACGTACTTTTTCTGTGTCTCCGCATCCATGACGATGGAGATGTAGCCCTCGATGAGGGAGAAGGCAAAGAACGTGATGGAGCTGGGTCCAGGCTCGCCAGGGGCTGCCTCTTTGGGGGCACTGGTGATGGACAGGAGGCTCAGGTACGCTGCTGGTCCCAGGCCCACTCCATCTCCCTCCAGTCGGCCCCGAGACCCCTGAGCAGGCCCCCCCTGTCTCTGGGCCACTTTCCTTCCCTGTCCTAGGACCCCGAGCTTCTGATGGTGCCAGGTGGGGGAGGGGCTGGGAGAGGACAATGAACCCTGTCTGTTCTAAAGGACCCCATGGCCAGAGGGCCTGACCAGGGCATGGTTCCAGGGTGGCTCTGCCCACACCACAGGAGAGGGCTCCCACTGCGGCACTGGGACCGTCCCCAAACACCAGTGAAGGGCACCGAGGCGCAGAACCAACGGAGGGGCAGAAGGCGGTGGGACAGAACACAGAGGACAATGATGTGAGGACGGAGAGACTAGGTGCAAGAGGCCCACCTGTGGGAGTAGAAGAGGACGTCGATGAGGGTGGTGGCGATGGCGGGCAGTGTTTCGGGGTCCAGCGTGAGGACACAAAAGCGGTTCTGTGGACTTTGGATAGGATGCACCGTGGGGTTGGGCCCTGTTGGGGGGAACCAGGAGGTGGAGAGTGAGAGAAGGCCCGTGGGCTGGGGCGCCCCCTGGTGGCTGGCCAGGGAGGGGCCTGGGTTGAGCGTAGCCTCCTGTTCTGCAGTCACCTATCTGCTCTGGTTTCCCCAGCCCCGTGCCCCTATCTTGCGAGGCAGTCGATCAGTGGCAGCGAGTCTTTCCCCACACAAGCAATGGGCCCCAGTGGGAAGAGGAGCCCCCCCACCCAGGTCTGGGTGCCAGAGGGTGCCCTCACCATGCTGAGCACGGGGACAGCCATTGCTGGAATCGTCCCTGGCAACAGGCACAGGCTCCCCGCCCACCTCTCGGTAAATGTCGAACTCCTGGGCCAGCGTGTGGATCACCACGGGCAGGTCCTGCTCCCGCACCTGGGCCACAGGAAGATGGCGGATCACGCGGGTCCCCCGGCAGCCAGACCCACCCTTCCCGACACGGGCAGCCGTGGGAAGCTCACCAGGATGAAGTCCGTCTGGTAGGTGGACAGCATCAGCACAGACACGTGGTGCTCGGCCAGCGGCGCGATGACCGAGCGGGCAATCTTCGTGACCCCCGCCGCTTGCACCGCTGCTCCGCTGTGGGACGACACGCTCAGCACCAGCCAGGTGGCCTCGGCCACTTGCAGGAACTCCGACGGGGGCAGCTCTGCAGGCAGAGGGCGCGGACCAGTCAGGGCCTGCGGGGCCGACCCCTCGTTTCCCCTGTCTGTGCCTTGGCTCCGCCATCTACTTGCTGTTGACCTGGCGCAAGTGGTTTACCTTCTCTGAGTCCCAGTTTCTTCGTCTGTAAAAGGGGGTGACGGTAGGGACTTCCTGACAGTGTTCTGTGGGTTAACAGGGGCCTTATACCGTGTGGTGCCAGGAGGGGGCGCCAGTAGATCAGGTTGGCTGAGGGATGCCCTTCCCTCTTAACAGACCCAAACTTTGTGGCAGAACAAACAGGGAAACTAAGGCCTGAAGCAGTGCAGTGGGAGATGGGTCAAGCCCCATTTGGCTGGCCCGAGACTCCAGGCCTCCAGCCTGGATAGGCCAGGCTGACAGGAGTAGGAGCCAGATGTCAGCTCCAGAGGCCAGGGAGGGCCCAGGCTGGCGTCCAGTCCAGACTAGGGGCTGGGGCCAGGGTGGCTGCTAATTGCCCAAGCACAGCGAAGCGGTCCCTTTCCCCCACTCCCCACCCGCCCCCAGGACCCTGCCCTGGGCTGGTTGCCTGCTCCCTGCCTCCAGTCCCTCCCCAGCCCTCATCGCCGCCTGGAGTTCCCAGAGAGTCAGGGAGGAGATGGCCAGCACCAGGGAGAGAAATCCAGGGAAAAATAATGGCCAGGGGGGGCGGGGGGAACAGGGGCGGGAACCCCTGATGCGGGCAGCACGCATAACCGAGGCCTGCTGCCAGGCTGGCGCTGCCAAATGCCCGTCACACGCAGCCTGTTTATAAAACCCTCGGGGGACCCCATTAGATCAGAACCATTCACTACACCCCTTTTAAATAAGAGGAAACAAACAGCTCGGAGAGGGGAAATGACTTGCTCAAGGGCGCCCAGCCAGTGCGCCCGCCCGCCCGCCCGCCGTGGAGTCCAAGCCTCAGCCCTGAGTCACTGGACCCCAGCATCAGTGAGAACCCGCCGAGAGGGAAGCACGGCCGCCCTCCCCAGCCCCGCCCCACCTTTGAAGCCTTCCTCGTCCACCATGAGCGTGTAATCCTCGGGAGTCTCCGTCAGGCTGAAGAACTTGCACCTGGAGGGGGGAGACATCTTCAGGCTGGGCTGGGAAGAGGGGTGTGCAGACCGCTCCATCCGCCCGCAGAGACCCCTTGGCCGGGCGCCCCCTGCCCCTTCAAACCTCCGTTTCCTCCCAGTGGGGAATGCGCCCCATCTCGGGAATCGCGAGCTGTCTCCCCTCTCCCTCCCCCGTAGGAGCGCCCCCGCCCCCCGCCCCCCCATTCCCGGAGGAGAGGCTGCCCCGCGCGCGGCGACAGCCCCGGGGCGTCGGACCTGGCATCGCCTAGACCTGCCCCTCTGCCCCGAGGGGAGGCGCCTGGGAGGGATCCTTCCCCGCAGTCCCAGGAAGGGACACCGCATGTGACTCCGCCCGGAGTTAAGCATCGCCCACCTGAGGCTGTTTGCGCTAAACTGGCCCGGATAGGCGGCGGTCCCGGGGAGGGTGAGGCCAGGCCGGATGGCGGCCGCGGTGGGGGGGCGGGAGGGGGATGGGCCCTCCCCGCTCATCCCCGCGGGCCCCGCGGCGTCCCTACCCTCCCGACCCCGTCCCGGGGCGCCAGGGGAGCCCACCCTCATCTGTGGCCCCGAACTCGCGCGCGCACCGGCTTCGGCGGGGCAGGAAGAGCAGCTTGATGAGCGGGTGGGTGTAGAGCCAGAGGCCGGAGCGGGCGAGGCTCAGCACCCGCACGCGGTGCTCTAGGATGTGCAGCTCCATCGCGGTCCCGCGCACCCGACCCCTCCGCGGCCAGACCCGGGCCACGCCGAGGACGGGGCGGGGGGCGGGGCCGGGGGCTTAAAGGAGCCGCTGCTCACGCCAGTCCACGCCGGCCACCAGGCCTAAGACCCGCCCAGCCCGGCGCCGCGCCGGCTACGCCCTGCGAGGAGCGCGGCCTATCAGAGGAGGCCACGCCCCCTTCTACCAACAGAGCCCCGCCTCCACCCCGTTAACATTGGCTTAAGGATCGCCAGCTGACCCCGCCCCGTCGTCCTTCAGACCCCGCCCAGGCCGCGCCTCTTCTCGGAGCGCCACCCTTTCTGCAAGATGCGGTGGCTCCTGGTTGCGAAGCTTGCAGGAAACGTGGGGTCCTTTCTGTCCTTCAGGCCCTCATGCGGGTCTTATGATTGTCATTGAGGCGCTGCCTCCAAAACCCTGAAGCGTGGAGGGGGAGGGTCTACTCTGCAGCCCCAGGAACCCTACGATTCTCTCCCAACAAAGTATCCTGGCACCTTTCTTCCTCCTTCCTCTCGTGGGATCCGTCTCCCCACCAGGGTCGCAGAGATATTCAGGGCCCCACCCACCTCTGTCCTACTGCTGGGTAGGGTGCTGAAGGCAGCCAGGGGGAAGGAGGCCCCTCAAGACCGAGGCCAGTAATGCCCAAGGCTCAGACTTCCGAGGACGGGCCCAGGCATCTGGGGCTCCCTGGGTAGTGTTCTCAGACCTGAGGCTTGAGCCTTGCTGAGCCTCCCTAAGCCAGCAGCCATTAGACGAAACCCCCAGCCTGAGCGTATCTAAACTTGCTTTGTGCCCAAGGAGGCCCCCAGCACTGGCAGATGCCCCAGATCTGAGGCTTGTTAGGACCCACTTGGGCTCATTTTGACATTAGGACTGGGTTCTGCTTAGGCTCCTCGGGTCTCAGACCCCAAGGCTGAGCAGGCATCAGCCCACCCAGGCTGGCCCAGTAGCAGGACTAAGCATGCTTTGGGAGGCCCTTGTCTGGCTCAAGCACCTTGGGGCCTCAGATCTGAGGCTTGGAACCAAGCAGGTTAAAGCAGGCCTCAGGCCTGACTGGGACCCAGCAGGCCTCCACAGGCCTCCTGCCTGCTTGGGAGCCTCCACTGTAGGCGGATGGAAGTGGCGCAGTGCCTCCCCTCCCTGGACTCTGGCTCAGTGGGTTCCTGTGGAACACTGTGCAGCCACCACATCCTGGCCTGTCCCCTAGAGGGTCAGGGGGAGGGGACTGACCTCAAAGGCTGAACCCCTCTTCTCACCAATGGGGCAGAGCGGGTGGGAAAACCACAGGTGTGAGGGTTGGGAAGCAGGAAGTGATGGCCTGCCCTGACAGGCTCATGTGACCCTTGACCTCCCCAGGCCTCAGTATACCCAGCTGTACCAGAACAAGATGTTCCAGACTAAAGCCCCGAGGTGCCTGAAAGCTCCGAGGGAGGCGCTACTCCTCCCTCCATAGCCCAGCCTCGCCTGGTGGCCTGCCAAGAACAACCGCTATTGTTTGACTGGAAAAGCTGCTTCCTCAGCAGAAGGGGGGCCTCTCCCAGGGACACCCTGTCCGTAACCTCAACAGTCATCAGGTTGTGACCATAGAGCCTGCCTGGGCCCTCCATGGCAGTCCGGTCATCTGGCACCCTGGCCAGGAGAGGTAGCTGAGGGGCTCTGGGTGCAAACTGGCACCAGCTTACCTCTCACTCAGCTCTGCTGCCTCATCTGTCAAATGGAGATAATAGAGCTACCTGATGGTCAGCTGGTGACGCAACCAACCCAGCGTGGACCATGCTAAGTGCTCAGCAAGCGACAGGTGGCTTGTTATCAAAGACCCAGCCTTCTCCCCTCCTATCAATGGAAACCTGGACTGTAAATGTAAGGGCATTCATGGTCTCCCACCTATGGTGCCAGCAGCCAACCCAGAATGAACACTCAACCTTTCTCAGTTGGTTAGAGCGTCGCCAGTACACCAAGGTTGTGGTTCCCATCCCCAGTTGGGCACATACAACAATCAACCAATTAATGCATAAATAAGTGGAACGACAAAATACTTCTCTCTCTCCCAAATCAATAAAAAAAAAAAAAGAACCTTATTCAGGTCCAAAAGTAGCATCCAGGCCAGGCCTTAAGGAGAACACCCTAAAAGGATCTTAGGAACTCTGCCCCATCAGTGATGAGCAGGAATCAAGGCCTGGGGAGTATGCCCGCTCTGCCCTAGCACTGGGCTCCAGCCCTGGTGACTCTCACCCATGGTAGATGGTGGACAAGGGGCTGAGGGATGGAGTAAGGGAAATGGGGACCCGGAACAGGGGCTGGCCCTGGTCTTGGCATCCCCTCTGGCAAGGTACTTCTCAGAGAGGCTCTGGTGTTTGGCTGAGGCCAAGATGTGGGCTCTGTAGGAAATGGAAGGGATGCTGAGCACCAGGGGTGGTGGCACCCCCTTGCCCAGCCCTTAGCTGCACACCAGCTCTCTATACAAACCTGTTTATTTCTGTACAAAACCATGTTTCTATTTTACACAAAGAGTACCCCACCCTGCACCCCTCTCTCCCCCCTCATCAGTGCCCTAGCCCTGGGGAGCATCCCCCCAGAAGGAGAGGCCTGAGTGAGGCCCTCACTTCTGCCTGCCCCAGCTGGATCGGCCCGAGCTCCACTCTCGAGAAAATAAATAAGGAGGCTTGGGCAGAACCTGTACTGGGCCAGCCAGACTCTCTGCACCCAGTAGCCAGGCAGCCAGACCCTCAGAGGGTGGGCAGGCCCTGGAGTGTGTCAGTCCGTGAACCATGTAGGTGTGTGGAGACCCCGCCCTGGAGGCCTGAGATGCCAGGGTTACAAGTAGGTGTCCTCACTCTCCTGGGACACCAGGCTCTCCTGGGAGCAGTGGTGGGCTGAAACCTGGGGAGCTGAGTCCTGAGGGGATGGGTCCTGGGGGACTGGGTCCTTCGGGGGCACATCCTGTGGAGGACATGCATCTCCGCCAGCGATCGCCATCTTGGCTTGACCTGGCGTTGGGGTCTTGTCCAGCTGCCCACTCGCCTTCTCCTGCTTCTGCTGCTCCTTCGGAATCTGCTTGGGTGGCTTGGGCTTGCTTTTGGAGCCAGGGAGCGGGGCATCTGGGGGCAGACGGATGGACGGTGATGGCTGCAGGGTGGGCCGGGGGCCTGGTTCTGCCTCCAGGATGGCCTTGGCACCATGCAGCCTGGGTGGCGAGCAGCACTGCAGTTCACCGCGGGTCTCCTGCCAGCGCCGTAGTTGGATGAGGTGCTCACGCTCAATCTGGCGCTCTGTCACTGGCAATTCGATCACCTGTGGGAGCAGTGACAGGCAGGTGGGCACCAGGAAGAACCTTCCCCTCGGTCTTCCAGCCTGGGTCCCGGCTCTGCCTTGGAGTCCCCCAGTCTGGTCACTACAGGCTGACCACAGGAAGAATGAAGGTCTGGCCCCTGTGGTGGTCACAAGTCCCCTAGTGGTGGTGAGCCAGGCACTTGAGACCCGCTGCCCACAACTCATGACTCCACTCGCCTAATTATGTGTCAGCTAATTACAGCCCCTGAGAGAAAAATCCACAAAAGAAAGAAAAAAGGGAAATTAAAGCCAAGTTGTGGATGTGGTACCAGAGGAAGAGAGGTGATGGGTTGCAGCTCTTCTCATTCCCAAGAGGTCCAGAACGGGAAGGCCCCCAGACTGGGGCCTCTCTGTGCCCTCTTCTCATTCAGATAGAAGGATGAGCTCTACCACACCATGCTGGACTGCTGGGCACTGAGCTTGGTACCCATGACCCACCCTCGGGGGCAGAGGGCCGCACCTCCTGGACCAGAAAGGCCTCCTGCATGATCTTGGGGCTGAGGCTGCGCAGCTGCTCGATAGTCTCGTACTGGCCCTGGCAGGCCTTGAGCTTCTCCGGGGATCCCAGCGCATGCTTCAGCAGCACCAGGCCCACCCGGAAGATGATCTTGACTCCTGTAAGGGGGAGCAGGCAGTGAGTACAAGAGGCCTTTAGGGAGTTTCTGAAAACAGAGATCCCCTGTGGGCTGGGCTGGGCTGGGGGCAGGAGTGCTCCCCAGAGCTCAACCTGGTACCTTCGCAGAAAAACATGTCCCAGACGCGCAGCACCGAGCTCCAGGGCAGGGTGCGGGCGAAGGCACACATGAACCACTCCGTCATGTAGAGCAGGGGGTCGATCTTCTGCCGGCTGAGGTGCTTGTGGGCCACAGGTGACACCTTCTGCAGCAGAGAGAAGAGGATCTCCCCATCCAGCTGGATTGCCTCCTGGGGGAACAGTGAGACCATGACCATGGGCCAGCATCAGCCAGGGCAGGGACTACACCAGGCCCCAGCACCAGGCAAGCATTCATTCATTCCTCAGGTGGCTACTCCTACAGGGAGCCAGCCTCATGCTGGATTCTGGGATACAATGATGAGCCAATAGACAGCCAGTCCCCCTTGTGAGCATGTAGTGAAGACATGAGTCACAGGACCAAACAGACGAGGGGAGTGGGCGGGGGACTGAGTGCCTAGAACATGGCAGGAACAGGAACCCTGGGTGAGTATGTGCCACAGTCCCACTTGTAAGGGTCAAAGAAAGCTCCCGAGGGCAGAAAGGAGTTGTTGTCAGAAGGCAGGGAAGGAAAGGGACGGGGTGAAGCCTGTGCCAAGGCCCAGGCAGGGAGGCACATGGCGCACTGGAGGAACCATGAGTCTGCAGTGGCCAGACAGCTGAAGGCTGGGATGGAAACAAGTGTGGAACCGATGATGCTGGCGCCTGGGAGGCCTGGCCCTTGCAGGCCCGGGGACTTAGTTTGAAAGCAACAGAAGGCTGAGAAGGTGTCGAGCAGGGGCAGGAGCACCTGCGGAGAGAGAGGCCTGGAGACAGGTCCCGGGCCCAGCAAGCACTCACCAGTTTCTCGCTGTAGTAGCCGGGCAGGTACTTCTCACAGATCTGCACCAGGCACCAGAACGCTTGCTGTGGGTGACAGAGACATAAGGCCTTGCTGCTGGGTGTTCCCTGCCCGCCCGCTTGCCTGCCCGGGGCCTGGTGGTACCTCAGCAGGCATGTGCATGAGCAGAACAGCGGCAATGGGTGCCTGGGCCTGGCAGTAGCCCTCCTCAGGTCGGTACAGCGTGTAGGCCTTCAGCACACGGAATAGGTCCTGCTGGCTGTAGAAATGCCAAGCATTGCAGGAATGGCAGGTGTGACTCTGCCACCACTGCCCTCACCTGTGCCGCACTAGACCAGACCTGTCTCAGAATTTGTACTTCTCTGGAGAGGGGACGTGACCTGGTTGTGGTCACGAAGGGGTCAGTCTCCCATTGCAGCACACAAACTCTCACGTGGCCAGAGGATGGAGGAAGAAAGGGGCTTCCCCACTTGACAGGTGAGAGCAGAGCCTCAAGGAGAAAGCAGAAGCACCTCAGCCAGCCCACCTTTATCTCAGGGATCTGTCTCGGTCCCCTGGCCTGCCATCTCTCTCCCTACAGACCCCTGTTCACCCCACTGTCTCTCACACTCTTTCTCCCCACTGAAACCTGTTTCCAGGGGATGATCAGGCCAGGCAAGTTCTAACACTCTGAGAAGTAAATGATGAAAGTTGCCCCAGAGGTAAGAGATGCTAAGGGGACCATCAGACTCAAACCAAAGACGGAAAACTCTATAGTTTTAGCTCCTGGACCCCACAATACCCCCAAACTCATCTGACCTCCTCTGGCTCCTGAGGGACAGGGCCTAAAGCCGCTACCAGACCACCACGCCCAGCCTGCTCACCCATGCCCGCCCCGGGACACAAACATCTCGTGGAAAGGGAACTGCCGGTGCAGGTCACGCTCAATCACGTCCAGCCACTTGGAGTCCCCGGGGGCCATATCCAGCTCCTGGAAGCAAGGTCAAGGGGATACATTAGGAGTTAGGATGGCTAGGGTGATACAACTGTCCTAAATATTGGAGGAGCCCCGCGCCAGGAGCAAGGCCACCCAATCCCATCATGGACTGGGCCTTCCTGAGGGTAGGCCAGGAAGCCCAAATGAAAAAGCCTGGGAGGGGCAAAGAGACAAGGGTGGGGAAGGACCTGGAAACCTGAGGGGTGATTCTGGCTCCAGGAAGACCTTGTGGGTAAGAATGTCCATCATAGCTGTAGCTGGAAGCAACGTCTAGGAATTTCATTCAGGACTCACGTTACGTCACATCCTGAAGATGGAAGGCTACCATAGAGGTCCTAGCATCAGACTGTTCACAGATGAGGGCCAGAGAACAGCCATTTGCCCAGGCTTTGTGATTAGAAAAATGGTGGAGTTGCGTTGGGCCTGGAAGCTAGGTTGACTCAGAGCTGTCAATCCCAACTCTTCTGCTACCGGTCTCCCTGTAGGGAAGGTGGTGTGTGTGTGTGTGTGTGTGTGTGTGTGTGTGTGAGAGAGAGAGAGAGGAGGAAGATCGGAGCTGATCAAAATGGCTTCCTCTTTGTTTTGGTCAAGAATCCCCGTCTCTCTTCTGCTCTCCCTAACTCTGAGCTCCCACAGTCAGGAGCCTGCGGCAGAGGCAGGGGTACTCACAAGCCACTGTGCCAACCCCTAGGACTGCCTCAGGGGCCCAGCACTCTGCTTCAGGACATCCTGAAGACCTTTCTTAGCAAATCTACCTTCTTCCACAGCAACCCTGAAGACCCCATAGGGGTGGCCCTTCCCTCTCCAGATACACCACTCAACACACACACAGCGCACACACAGCTCTGTGCTCTGCTGCTCACCCAAGATGCACTCACAGCTGCTAACAGGAGGTTGGCCAGGATGCCCCAGCCCTCAGATCTCATGCTGCACCTCTGACGGTCAGAAGTAAGCTACAGATTTAGGTGGGGCTCCCGCCCCGAGACTCCCTGTGTCCAGGATGCAGCTCCCTGAAACTGAAGGTTTGTAGCCTCACTGGGAGTAAGACTCTGAAACTGAGAGGCTGCTTGAGTGGGGCCAGGTATTGGCAACCAGTCCAACTGCCCTAATTCAGAGCTGCCCCCAGGCAGACACTCCACCAGATTTCCTGACCTCCAGTGCCAAGTTCTTCCTGCAAACAGCTCTCACCCTCTCCCAGTAAACAGCAGAAACTCTAGGCTGCCCTGCTCTGCCCACCATTCCTGGGAACAGTGCTCACTGAAGCATGAAGTATGTTAGCAGCTCTCTCACGGTCTTTCTGTCACCCGTCCCAAGAGCTGGGGAGAAACCCTAATGCCTTTCTGGTAGGTAAACTGGGGCAACGCCAGGAAAGCCAACTGCCTCCCACAGTTTGGAGCAGGCTGGAGGAGCTGCCCAGCCCAGGCAAGCCCAAGAAGCCCCATGAATGAA